TTGATAAGAAGTAGAATTTTATCTTCAATTGTGATACCCCATGAAGAGTTGATGAATGAGGGCTTTATGGATATATATGATAAAGTTAGTTGAGTAAAAGGGTTCATCATACTCTAGAGAGGTTGTGAAGAATTTTTGGTGGCAATATCTATAAAAGAAAAGTTATTGCATTGTATCAATAATTCACATGGAATTTTTTAAACTTCTAAAAGATAAATATGTTATTGATAAATGCACAAGATCAAGAGTAGTACATATGGAAAAGTTTATACATACAATGTCAAATTTATATCAAAGGGCTATTTTCATAAGTATGAGAGTGATTATAACAAAAAATTCATTCATATTGCCAAGATGTTTATAATTTGTGTCATTATAGCAATTGATACATAACAAAATTGAGTATATATTAAAGAGATATAAACGATGTGCCTTTAAATGATGATTCAACGAAAATTATATTTATGATACAATCATTTAAATATGAAAATGTCATTGACATAAGACATTATATGGCTTGAAACAAGCAACAAGTACATGATATGAAAAGAAAAAAATATGTCTTTGATTTCAGTACAATTCAATATTATTATAATAGATTCTATTATGTACAAGTTTAAAATTTTAAATATTTTAAAAATTTAGCTTTTCTCTTCAAACTTTTATTTCAAAATTTTTTGAGATAGTTTTTTCATTGTAGATACCAATAAGCTAAATATTAATTCTGGCTAAGATATTAATTCATAATCTCTAAGAAACTCAAAATTATAGCAATCAAAGTTTGAAAATGATTGTGGTTTTGAACTGATTGATTGTCTAAATAATTTGATAACTTATCTAGTCATAAAATACTAGAGCCATTTGATGTTCAAAAAATTCATGATGTAAAATTTTCATGTTTGATAATTATGTTTATTCAAAATCCTTCCTATAATCAAACTTAATAAATTGAATATTGATGGATTACTTAATTTAAAGTAGTAATTGATTTTGATTGATTCAATTAACAAGATACTACACAATAAATTTTTCATATTTTTCAATCTTTTTCATTAAATTATGTTATGGTTTTTTACTGTTTAAAACACACTTTAGAAAAATGATGTGAGTGTGTGGGTGGTAAATATATCAAACATACAAACCCAAATTTTTTATCATTGTGTTGCGAGAATCAATTGCTTAATTTCAGTAAAAACAATTAATTTTGAATGATTTGTACCAACACAATAAGTTTGTCATACTTGTCAATATTTTGAATTAAAATATGCAATATTTGAGTACTCTAACAAACAAATTTTGATAAAATGGTGTGCGAATAATGCATATATCAAACATGTAAATCAAAAGTATGATTTTTATGTATGATATGAGTCCTGCCTGAATTATAACAAGCCAATATGACGTATTCTTTTCATACAAATTTTTTTTCAAAATTAATATTTAAATCTATAAAATTATAAATTTATACTTTAGATTAAAAAATTATTTAAACCTAAGTTATCTCTTAAACTTCACCCTCTTGCTAAAAATTTTATCCAATTATTTCTCTTGCGTTGATATTGTCCAACAACTCAATAGAATTCCCTCCCAATCTTAGTTTTGATATTTAGTTATAATTTAGTTCAACATATATGAGAAAAAAAATGCAGATTTTTCTCCAAATTTCCTCTTTGATATATAGTTACAAATCAGAGCAACACATAAGAGAGAAAAAAAATACATGTAAGTTCACTAAGAAGTACTATAATATAAAAGTCAAAAATTTACAAGGAAATCTAATTGAAAACATGTGAATCTTTAAAGGATAAAGTCATCTAAATTAACTACAAATTTCACCATGCATACGAAACATATTGTCAAGATAGATGCGACTAATACTAGCAAATATATCAACATCAATTATTCATATTTGCTTACATACATAATGTAGTGGCATGAGGTGTAGATGTTGCAAAGATGGCTATTATTTACTTAAAAAGGGGGCTTATATTATAGGATGTAGAAATTAGATTGCTCTATTGTACTCTCCCACTCTACTAAAATTCTATATCTAGTAGACGTGCAATGTATGAATCATTTGATGTAGGTTGGTCCATGTGAATAAAATATTGAGTTTTCATAAGTGTTGCATGGATGGATATGTTATAGAAATGCTCAAAAGTGCTAGACGTGAGATGGATAAATCATTTGATGTATGTTGAACCTTATGAGATTGTGAAGAGTAAGTGTTGCGCGGATGGGTATGTTGGAATGCTCAAAACTGCATATATGTGTGGAGTGGATTTTCCTATTGTCTTGGGGTGTAACTAGTAAGCGATGTGCATCTCTATCTTGATTAGGTTGATGGACTAAGCTTGCAATTACGTGATGTGCATGTACCATGAAGTATTGATGCGCAGAAGATCAATCAAACCACTTATAGAATCTAGATGAACATAAAACATGAGTTGAGCTAGTTTTCAGAATAACAAGGTTTCAATAAAGATCTCAAACAATACCTTAAGTTTCTTCACGTTGTCGTATTGTGACACGGCTACTATAAGAAGATGATGACATGTGTCATCTTCAAAGTTGTTGTCATGACGGCGATACTTTAGGTTAGGATAACCGACGGCGCACTGTAAGGTTACTAAGAGTCCACCGTTGGATCAACTTTGTAGGGTCTGGATGTTGAAAAGACTCCAAGAGATATTATCTTGGACCTTATCAAATATAAAGCGCAGTCATGATGGAAAGAGTATGGGAGAGAGCTAGACACGCTGACTAAGAAGCTTATCTGATCAAAGTGGAGCCGACGTAGGACATGGATAGAGGACAACATGATCCTCCAGATGTATCGATGCCCAATCCATTTGTGATCAACATCCGGTGTCTTCATCGTGATCACTTTCGGACGTGGTTAATGTATCATTTTGAAGATAACTTTCTGCAACAAGTGATAAACTCTCGAGACCCGATTATTCTTCCAGTTGTTTCCTACAGCACGATTTGGGACGTAACAGTATACATTTTGATTTAGTGTGGACGTTATGGATCTGAACTTACCAGTAGTGGTGGCTTTCAACACATGGGTTCCAATCCATCACTATTGCTTACCGAAAACAAGCCATATGGAGTTGATTGTTAGGAACTTTGGCGAGGAGTATTATTCTCAAGTTATAAACTCCCCGGTTCCGTTTGTAGTTCCGTTCATACTTAGCCGGTTTCGAGTTGTCATTTTGACTCTTTATTAGTGGCAACTCGTATTGTGTATAGGATGGATAAGTAGTGTGTTTAGGATAGTTGTAAAGCTCTAAGTTAAAATGGAGCTAATTTGGCCACACTAGAGGTCAAAATAACACTCTTCATTCTCGTTGGTCTTGGAGTTTGGGCCAATGAGGGCACTTGGGCAACTTCTTCGAGGTGTGTTTCTGAGAATCTTATGAGGGTTTTGGGAGATCTGAGTTGACAATGATATAGTTTACAACTCAGCCTAGCGTTTGGATAGAAATTTCGACTCAATTGGATGAGTTTTGAGTAGGGAGTGATAGCTTGAAGTTTTTGTATACAATCAAAGTTGCAGGACTGCATTGACTGTCACGAAGTTAGTACGGACATTATATCTTTTGATATCAGAAACTTCTGTCAATAAAACTTTGCACAGTTTAAGTTGTGATGATGAGTGATCTTCTTATGAAATATGGGGCAATAGAAGTCAAGGATTGGGATGTGTGAGGGGTTTTGTACAAAGGGGTCTGCATATCATTTTGTGATACATTGTGCAAATCAACAATTGTTCTGAAAGATCTAGAGGAGAAAAATATTTGAAACTTTTCTGAGAGATTGAAAGGGTTGTGGAGAAATTTTCTGTAAAGTTTAAGCGAGAGTTATTGGTCGAATCATTGGCTATCATAATCTTCTTCCGCTGAAGTTTTAACGGTTTATAATGAACTCGAATGTGGAGTGCTGAGGAGAAGAAGAAGAAGAAATTGTCAACTCACATGAGATTCTAGAGGGTTCTTATACAGCCAGGCGCTCGGGCGTTCTCAGAGCAAAGAAATGTCCATGCGACAACATATCTTATACCTACATCCCATGCAGACAAAAGATGATAATCAAGAAAGAATTATATAAAATTTATCGCAAATAAACTTCAACAATGGAAAAGTGGGACAATCAATATATATATATATATATATATATATATATTATTTTTCATATTTCCAAATTTATATAATTTGAAAAATTTGACAACAAATATATAAAACTACAAGGAAATAAAGATCAAACTAAGATTTACAAGCATTTAGGGGAAAGTATGTGCAACCTTGGATTCTATGGATATTGGATTAGAATCTATAATCAAGTTACAGGTGAAACACACACACACACACACACATATATATATATATATATATATATATTGATTTCAAAGTAGAGAAATCTTTCGGAGGAATCTGGTGTATGTGGTAATTAAAAATGTGTCTTTGTCTCTCTGATTAATATCATCAATGGATTTTAATTATAATCATCTTGTTGGAAAAGGAGATAGAATGTATGAATAGCAATGTCAGATTTTAGTTGCTTATTAAGGACATTTTTTTTGTAAGACTCATCACTACGTCGCTTCCACAATGTTGAGATTTGAATCCCGTCGCCATCCCGAAAGCCGCTACTAATGTTAACCGAAATAGTGGTATTGGCATTTTAGAAAACCACGTGGGAAAGGTACCCACCAGCATTGAGATTAAAGCTGTGCACACCGGGCTGAACCCCGCGATACCTTGAGAAGGTTAAGTACGAACTTGAACCAGACCCAGAGGCAGATTGTTTTTACAATGCCGATTCACGTCAGATTGAAACTGTGCACATTGGGCTGAACCCCGAGATACCTTGAGAAGGTCCTTACCTTGAGAAGGTTAAGTACAAACTTGAACCAGACCCATATGCATATTACTTTAAACTGCCGCTTTCCATTGCGAGTCTATAGACGTTATCGACATGCAAAAGGCAGTATGGAGGGTGTTGACAGCGGGGTTCGAACCCACGCCCTTTCGGGTCAGAACCCTTAGTATGGTGCCTTAGACCAACTCGGCCATATCGACTGTTTGATAACCCTCGGAGGTAAGTAAAATTTGATTTTAAGTTAATGTGTTCCAATATATTTTACAGAACTTATAATATTTTGATTCTTAGAATGTCTCTCTAGTGAAATGTAGAAGATTTATGATATTCTAAAAAAAAATTTATGATAAAATTTGAATGTTGACATTTTGTTCGTAAAATCGAATATGTCTAATGCACTTTTGACTTTTGCTGACAGAACCATTCATGAAGAACTGTTCGTAATGAACACGCATTCTTGGTGACAAGTTTATATGTCTCCTCCACTAATATTAGATATTCTTGAATCAAGTGTCATATGATGTTATCAATATAAAAAAACTCTAATTAGTTTGGTTGCACCTAAGCCCAGATTGGGAGATATCTTTCAGAGTTTCAAATACATATGTAAAATTTTAGTAAAATCCCAACATTGCATTGTCATTAAATGCAATTCAATGCCAATAAAATTTTGTTGAAATTTAGAATTTATAGTTACCTTTTGTTGTTGGCGTTTATACATTTTAACTGTAAAGGTAAATGGTATGGTAATGCCTCGTCTTCTCGTTTTTATAGATATCTTCATAAGACACCGTCAACTCACCATTTTGGTCTAAAAAATATTTCTAGCCTTGAGTTATTTCATAATTTGAATGATGGATATTTTGTTTGATACAGTGTGAATTTATATACATAAGTAGAGATTAACGTCTTAAGTCCGTGTTCAACCCCGAAGAAAAGGAGAGACAAATGGGCCCAAAGGTTAGACATAGTAATAAAGCTATGATACATTTGAGGTTTGTGATATTGTTTTCCTTGAGCAATAATGGTTTCTGCAACTATGTGAGACGTTAAAAAAAATTCCACTTTATCATCTGCATAATTTACTGAAGAATGGATTATAACTTTCAATTTGTTCCAACTTTTGGAGTGAACTGCAAATTTGTCTTTTTATTTACAAGATCATTTTTTACGTTGATTGTCCAGTTGCTTAAAGTACGCTGTAATGCATGACATGGCATATATTTCAATGTTTTTTTTTCTCTTCCGCAAGATTTTCCTCCCAATTATATCTATTACACAAAAATTATATTTCCCAAATATACGGAATTGATTCATTATATTTTAAATGACCTGATCACGTGCGGTGTCCAAATTTTTGGTATTACGTAATATCATGCATGATTAGTGACAGGAGAAACTGCTAACAACTAGTGTTTGTTCAACCACTCATAATAACAATTGTTTAAAAAATTTCCCGACCTCCACTCGAATATAAATTGTTCTCAAAGCTGATCGAAGTTTGGTCGATATAATATAGAATGAACAACTTTATGTTTACTGCACAGCTACATTATAAGATAAACAGTAGTTATGTCTTATCGGCGAGAGCCGGAGCCTTTACACAACATATCTGCATTTGCAAGTTTCTTTTGTCTATTTCCTCTAAAATGAAATCAAAGTACTTTGTACTCCATGGGAGTCTCTCACAACATCCCTGGAAGAAAATATTAACTTTACCTTAATAAGTGTTTCTTTCATTACTCGGCTATGTGCATAGTAGTAGTCAAAATAAACACGAAGAAGCATATCCAGAAGATAAGGATGGATCTTACTAGTAACCCATTTTGTTCCATGATGGATCAAGTTATATGCTGAAGATGACGATGAATCCAGATTCGAATAAAGGAAGGGAGGATTCGCACAAAGAAGAGACAGAAATCGATATTATGTTTAGAAACCATGGACATGAAAATATCATTCATATGATTATGACAAGCTGTGGACATCCTGTGATTCTATGGTTCCTACTCATCTCATCTTATATGGATGACTCTATCCCGTTACCAGACAACCATGACCATACTTATGTGGAAGTTCTCAAGCATACCACGTGGACGACTGAGTTATTGCCACGTCGTCCCAACCCGCTTGGTCGTACTCAGTCCGTATTCCGTACGGTCATATACTGCCCTACATCTTATCCATCGTTATCCAGCCTAAGCTAATCTACGCTTCTAACTGGAATCCATAAACTATCTTTGAACTTTTATGAAGACCATCCCGCTCGTTTCACTTTCTCGCTAGAGTAGAAATTACCTTCGCCGATTTTCTTGCATTTATCTTCGCCGTCTGCTCAAGACTTATCTTTGTTTTCTTAAAAGTCGATAGCGCGCATGATACATGTTAATTAAACTGGGTTGCTCCCATTGTAAAATTTATACTGAGAAAAAGCGTGGAATCCCAACATCAGAAATAATTTGAAATTTGATGAAAATGCAGGTTAGAAACGTAATGAAAACGAGAATCCGGGAATAGTAAAAAAGAACAACGAAACTCCAAGTAGCACAAAACAGAGAGTAGAAAACTCATCTCAAATGTCTCTCGGACTCTCTCATCGATCTAGAGATGCTTCTAAACGTTTCCTTACCAACAGGCGAACAAATTATGCATTGGAAAATACATTATCGGTTAGATAGAAATTTTTCTTCATAGTTCCTGGATGATATTCTCAAGACTATGGACATGTAATATTTAGAGTGAGTTTGGGAATGGAAGAGCAACTAATACTAAGCTACAAATCTAATGTTGTGGTTCTAGCACTCTATGTCAAACCTACCAAGCTCCTCTTATATGGAAAACATATGTATCCACATCCAGCGACTCATGTAATAATAAGTGTTTTGGCAATATCCATCAAGAGTAGTACAAACAAAGGTAAAAGAAAAAACTCCGCTGAAGGAGGATGGAGAGTGCTAATTTTTCATCATAAGCACTCATCTCTCCTACAGTCATTCTAACATCTCATGTATCCAGGTCATAAGTTTGAGTGGTAAATAGAAGGTCCAGAACAAGCATCACCCACCACAATAGCCTTCCTCTCTCTTGATGAGTCTAACCCACATTGCAATTCTATATTGCTTGATTGTTGGAAATAATCTTTCTACAAATAATATTAACGTGCTCTACTTCACCTTTCGAGATATCTAAGTTTACAGTGTGTGTCTCTTATTTCCCAGACATGTGACATCTGGACGTTCCATGCATGAATAAAACAATATGGCATGTTCATCAAAGGGTTACAAAATTTGTGTTCCTCAAAACTCCAGCAAATGTGATCACATGTTATCAAACATTGCAATATTTGCATTGAATCTTCCACAAAGATTCAAAAAATAATTATTTTTTCAAATATCCATAAAAAATTTAGTGTAGCTTTCAAAGATTATCAAGGTTTTTATTTTTTATACTAAAGCTAGTTTAACTCATCACATTCTCATTTCGCAAAGAAATGAGATGAGAATCTCACGATGATGTTTCTTCACCATGAGCTACAAAAGTTTATTTATAAAACATTAATGTGATTTGATAAACATTTCAAAATCTAGCTCAAGCTGTACCGTGTCAATCTTAAAACTATGTATGTTAGTGAAGGTCAGTGGTATACATCTACAAAAATTCCTATGTGTTTCAAATTGCGACACACTCTACTCATAAAGAAATCTAGTAGATGTTACATTATGAAAATGATAAATAAAGAAATTATAAAAAATGCGTATTCTTTAGATAATAAGTATTATGTATTTTTAAGATAATATTATTTATTTAAGGGAAATTAAAAATTTATAGAAATAATTATGCAAGAGGAAAAAAATTCCGTGATGAGATCGGCCTCTTCTTGATTCTGTTCTTTTCGCCCTACAATTCTATCAATTACAACTTACCTTCAAGAGTTAAATTTAAGAGTTAATTTTTCCATGATCTTATCAGAGGATCTTAATGGAATTATCTTAATGAGCAAATCTTCCATCCATAAAACGAGGGAGTATTCAAATACTCAAACATCTTAGAAGAGTCGACCAGTACAATCAACAAGCATGTGAACACATTGGTGTGTTTCAGTTCCTTCCGGTTCGTAAAACACCGTAGCCTTTTATGACCGATGGAGAGTCTTACGACAAACTACACACGTTCCACCTTAGGAGATACCCGCCACTTCAGTTTTTCCTTTGACAAATTGCTCTTACATATACACATTGCTTGGTATATTTCACTCACAATCACCTAGCTCCGACCTCTCCATAAATATTCAAACCTCGCAAGAAAATTTGATTTCCCACCTTGGCATTTTCCAAGTGGAGAGCTGTCACAATATGCTTGTGAATACGGCTATTTCATACCACATTACGAAAAAGATACAAACGATTTTCAATTGACTTGTTACAGCTGTGATATAGTACAAGGATATTCCTGAGAAATAAGTGATCACACAAAAGTAAGCAATGAAGTGAAGATGCGAATATTGTGGTAAATCCACCAAAGTCGGAAGACGACGGATATCTTTTACTGATCATTGGAAGAATGTAACAAGCAAAATTTGCCCAAAATTTAACCAATCTCGCACGGTATCCAAAGCGAGTGAGGCTGACTTCGTAAGTTCGTATGTTCGAACCAAGACATGCTGTCCGTCCGGCCAACGAGTGCTGGTTCTAAATAAAGCTAGGTGTCTGTTGAGGTCTTAAGTTTTACGAGTATTTTTCAGTGCATTGGTATACATCGCAATCGAATTGAATATATCCATCTGGCATACACGGCCTCTTTTTCCTGGTTTCGACTGGAACATTCGTATGCCCGAGAGTCATTGGGTACATGCGGAATGAGATGATCTGCTCCTAAGAAAGACCAGTACCTGCCTCTTCTTAGGTTTGGTGGACCCTCTCCATTCTGGCGGTCCGGACAACGAACAGTGACACTCCCCACGTGACGTCCGACCTAACGGTCAGAGCCTTCAATCCTCGTCCCAACTTAGAGAACGTAGTCGTTGGAAGTCGCAGACCAGAGTTTGTCAGGGATGGCTTCTCTTTCCACTCTTTCTCGTTGCACATCCACACCCCAGTTCCTTGTTTGAGTTCCACGGTCATCGCCAAGGGATAATTAGAAAGACGTGTACAGTTTGAAAATGATCTGAGCGCGACGTCCTATCCAGGAGAGAGTTTGGAAAT